TGTAATCGTAGCCTCCCCCATCCTCCAGGAGTAACGTAGGAAGTCACACTTCTGCCTGATGTCACTTCTAGGTATCCCCTAAGTCTCCCCCCTTTGCATTGTGTCCACTTGTCACCAAACTGGTATGTACCCTCAGGATCGCTCAAAAGTAACACATGGGGTCGGCGTACAGATCTGACCCGCATATATTACTCCCCGGTGGCTCCTTTGTCTTATCAGCACGTTGAATGAGTACGTCAAGATTAAAGCATATTTTCATTAAAAAAAAACTACGATAGTTTATTATGAAAAGCATGCTTTACTAGTTTTTAAAGGCTATAAATAAATAGTCGTTACTCTAAAATTTTCATCTTGGTATAAAATATGTGCTTACTGAAGAACACTTGGCTCATCACAATTTCAAAGTTAGAAACTAGACTTTTAATCTTGCCAAATAAGAGTGGTCATGGTTCTTGCAAGTACACCAGAAATTTTCACAAACAATCAGCTTTCATAACAGCAAAAGTTGTATCATTCTGGATAGAAAAATGGGTCGTATTTCTACAGATTTTCATAGAACTGATCATAAAAAGACAATGTTAGCATTAATGAAAGTGTGCTTGGTTGTTTCACGTAAGGAATTACGATAATTATAAAGTGCTAATCATACTTTATTTAAACGATTTTCACGTCACAATACAACGGTCTTGTGCTATGTAGGAATATCACGTTTTGTACCTGCTTTAATGACATAGATTTTTTTGGTTGTTTAGTTTTCCTGTGGTAATGGTGACAACACGTGGTAAGAAAATCGTTAAGAATACCTTGTTCTATTTGTTTCCTTTCTTTGTTGTCTATAACAGGTGATGTCTCTTCTGCCCGAAAGTAATATAGCATTTTGGTTCAAAGGATCGGCACTGTAATATTCTTTGCTGGCCGATTATGACGTTGGCTAAATATCATAGACAATCAATGCTGTGAGGCAATAAAGGTCGCGAAGTAGTGCTGTCAACTGTTCAAAGAAAGCGAGTTAACTTGTTGAATTTAGGCATGCTTTTTTGGCCAGTTTCAACTCGTAGATCGTCAAGTGAAAACTACTTTCAAGAACAATGTGTTTTAGTGTTACCGAGATTAATCCTGAGGGAGAGAAAGCTGTAGAGTTAAATGTAGCCTAGTAGAGTATTATGATAAATAATAACGAAACAAGAACAAACTTCACAGTCTTTGAACTTTTAAATACCTATAATCGAAAATGTGAACACTATTAATTTTATGTATCTTACCTAATAAGTTATTAAGAACTATATTAAACAGCACCATAGTTACACTAATACAACGTCTGACACGTGTGCGTCAAGCAATCTTACAAGTTTTAATTACGCGTCGTAAACAGAACGCCAACTAGCTACCTATACACTGATACGTAAAGTCTGTGAATGTACGAAGATCTGAGTACTGCATTAACAGAACGTGATTTCCATATGAATGTTTTAGTCGTCACTGAAACTGGACGCAAAAGATAAGCTACTGATACCACAAAGCTGGAGGTTCAATGAATGTGTAACAAGTCAAACTTGACCTAATGAACAAGGAACTAGATACAGATGTTTGAACAGTACACTTTACTGGGTAATTAAAGTATATTGAACATGATGGCCTATAATCAAGTTGAACCAATTCTTCATTATTGATTTTGGCTGGTTTATTTGTTGATAGCAACTTCAACTCCACTCACAGTAACCTAACTTCACACAAATAAGCAAGAAGTAGCTTTGTTTGGGATTACACACAATTCGAATATCCACCAAGGGCTCCCATTATATTATGGTACCCACATAAACAAGCAAGTTCGAATAACGGTAAAGGGAAACAAGAGTTTCCAAATTCTCTATCTTCCTTTCGTTACCCACAAGCAGGGTTGCCAGATTTTGCTACAAAAACAAAATCCTATGGGTTCTTAAAACAAGCCACTCCTTATTCAATAATGGCAATGCAGTTCTGTTTAAAAACAACTCAAAATAGTATCCACTATTAAAGTGACTGTAAACACAAATGAAGCACAAATCTGTGGGAGATAGGCAGACTTGACAACCACTCTCTCAAGCCGTAGTATAGTTTGAAAAACCGGTTTCAAATAGCCATGTTGTAGGACGGGTATAATTGTTGAATATATGTACGCAAAACTAACCTATAAACTTTATTCTGTGAAATAAAACATATCTGTGGAAATGTTTGAAGTTGTATGTATCTTACTAATATACATTTTTATTTTTTTCATAGCGACAGCAATTAAAGTATATATCTCTGTAGATTATACTTACACGTTTATAATTAAATACGGTAGTACTTAATAGTGGAGATTGACAAGGTTTCCAAATAATTCACGCGCCAAAAAACACCCTTTTGAATTCCTAAGCGAAAAACCGACTATTCAAAGTATTGGTTACGATATATTATGTACATATTTACTAATAATACGCTAAAAATGTCGCTAACATTTCCTGTATAACAATTCAAAAATCTCTAAAACATCAAATGTTTCGTCCACTACCTACCTACCTACCTGAGCACGACAGTGGGGCTTGCCCCCAGAAGGCTTGGACTATCGCTACAAGATTTCTCTAGCTTACTTGACTGGTCTGTGGGTATCCGCTTTTGATATTCTGATAAATATATAGACTTTTTTTTTCATATAAATGGTAAGCATATCATGCACCTACTTAAATATCATTTAAAATCAATTCAACCCAACAGATGACGTTACATATCGATGGACAGACATGCGAAAGTTTCTAATTTAATTCCTACTTTGTAAATTTTATACACTTATCTGTAGGCCAAAGCAGATTTTAATTCTTATAAAAGTTATAGCTGTCAGGAATATGTTGATAATAAACGACTTATAACATCAAAACATTGTTTTTATTTAATTAAACACTCAAGGTTTGTGTTACATCTTCTTCAGGAGCGTTCACTAAAACTGACAGCACAAAGCTAAAAAGAAGAGTCTTCTATACACCAGTATCCACTATAGAAATTAAATAATGGGTTATCAGGGATATGGCTATACTAAACAAATAAATAAGAAACACAATTAAAATGAACAGAAACTAGGGGCCGTTGGTTATTCGTAGAATTGCTATAAGAAATATCCAAAACGAAATAAATGCTACAATAAAAAGTACACAATCAAGTAATGTGATACTAGTTGGGTAGATTTTAAAACGATTTTCGATCCCTACTTTGGGTGGCAAATTCAGAGTGCGTCATTTAGTTATACGGATCACAATGCCAACTAAAGTAATGATTGAAAATCGTTTTACAATCTACCCAACTGGTATCACTACACTTGTGTACTTTTTATTTTGTTTTGGATATTTTGTATAGCAATTCTATGAATAACCGACGATCCAGCAAGTTAGTAGTTCTGAGCAAGACATTTCAAATTAATTTAGTTATTTTAAGGCATATGATGATACTAGTGAAACCAAAATTCGCTACTTTCACCCATTAAATTAATGGAGCTTTTGTATAACCGACATGGTTCTGCATACACCCACCTCTAGGCAATTTTTAAATGTAGTTGTTAGCATATATGACTTAACAATTAGTCATACTCTTCACACTTTTAGGACGATAAAATTGATGTAAACAACCTTGAATATCCAAGTATCCGGTCTTAACTCATACATAGAAAGAAAGGTATTTTATTATGTATATGTAAAGAACCATTAAAATTTCGATGTGTTAAGGTATGAACATTTTTCTCAAATTGCAGGCATGTTATTATTTTAACATGTGCACAGTTCTTGACATATCCTTTCAACGCGCGAGGACGATATAGGGATCCCCTGTGGTGATACAGTGGAGTCCGATCAGAGCACCAAACCCCCTATGTCACTGTCACTCCCACACGGGGGGGGGGGGCTAGAGGAAGACACGTTTATGAGAATTAGCCCAGCTGTTCACTAGTTATAAGTTGATAAACACACGTACAGAGACTGTTAAATAATAGTTTAGAAGATAAACAATAGATACTCCGTATCTCTATGCAGCAAGTTTGGTCTTTATTAAACCGTGAAGGGATCAAACCTTAAGTATAATAATTTCGGTCAAATCTACAGTTACTCATAGGAGATAATTAACTTTATATAATAAACAATGCAAGATGGTTTTATTGTAAATACCCAAAACTTGAAGTACGAGATACCTTCAGGCCTGTACGCAGAACGTTTGAAAGGGCTAATATGCGAGATCAAAAGTCAGCACATTGTGCTAAGCATAATCACCATGCTAATGCTACGTTTTTGGGGGAGGGAATGTCCCCCAGAAAAACAGGTACTATAACATCAAGTCTGGAAGCAATTTTGCATGAAATATAGCTTGAACAATCGCATGGCTGTTCACATAAAATCCACAATGAAAAGTCAACAAATCATCATCATTCTGTTGCAACACTGCATGGGGAGTTACACTTAAGTTAACATGATCTTATGGGCAGTGTAGCAAAGAATTTCAGTGCCATAAATATAACTGGTACATTGAAGCACGCGTTTAAGCAGTCAGCCAGTATATGGGACCTGTCCTGGAGAGATATAGAAAACCATATTGTCTTGCTTCATCAGAAGAATGTAGACTATGTAGAAAATGTTAAATACCATAAGCAGCTGCGTTATAACTATATAAGCATTATTTTTTACATCACAAAAATAGGGGGTTCAGCCGAACCCCCTTCGAATCCTCCCCCAGCTGCGTGAGTGCATGACCTTCATTTGTACTGCTTCTTCATTTTTCATTTTCAGTATTTTTTGGACGTCCCTTCAAAATTGCATAAAGCTCCGTATTTCAGGCATTGTTATATTCAAAAACATTCAAATTCACAAAAACCCTACCTTCGGTAAATTCCCTGTAAAAAACAACAACAAACAAACAAACTGTACCACCAGGTGACACACACTCATGCAACTGATTCAATGTTAAAATATTAATACACAAGACATCACATAATTAGAAATACTTACAAGATCCAACTGCGCAGTAGTTTAGAATTTAGTAAAAGATACCGTTATACAATTAATACAGGATATGAAATAATCTTAAAACCATTTCATGTACCGAACGAGTACACATACGAACTTGTTGAAATGACTAAGTAAACAAATTTTGGTTGCTTTGAGCAAGCTCCGTGACCTCTCCAAATGACCTTGCTTGCACGTGACCAAAAACAGGATGCCACTTTACTAAAAATACAGCTTATTCTGTGCTAATAGAGACAAAAATACTATAGCTTGACGGTGACAAAGCAGCTGCGATAAAAATACCACCCTTTTAAACACGTGTTGTCCACCCCAAGTTCCAACTCAAATTTCTTATGAACTTTGCACTATTACAAAACCATAATAGCACGCTTACATCTGCCTGAAACGTTATACCACTACTAAACCTCATCTGTTCTGACACCTAGTACAGCAGTGTTCCCAAAGTGGGAACCGTGAAGCTTTTTCTTGGGAGCTGCAAAGAAATATGATGAATTAATTAAATGATACAGTATGTCGAAAGGAGATGTTATTGTGTTTACTACGGCACTGTTTTTCAATCACCATGCTAAAGTAATGGTGAGGGGACATTTTAATATC